AAACAGGATTTTTCCATGTACATGTTTGAAGTCAGCACAGCTTCACCTCATTCACTAAGCTCAGGGCCTGTTCTCAATACCCTGTCCGCTAAAACGGAGCATTTTAGTGGGCGGGCTAGTGTGTTGTGACAGCCCCAGCAGTCAGCTACCACTGCTTTTTTTTAAACTTTATTTGTAGTGTACAATGTGTACACTCCATTTGGGTCCCTCCACAGCAGCCCGGTGTGTTGTGCTGCGTTGTGGTGACCTGTGGTGCGGTCCTGTGTGCTGCAAACCAACCAGCCGCATCCTGGATCACAACTGTGTTGTGGTGTGAACAGGGCACATAGAAAACACCTAGTGTAAATGGGCTCTGTGTGCATTTTCTGTTTGTAAAGGACATTTTCACTTAGCTTACTGAATGAGGCTAATTTGTGTTGACTTTAATCATCCAATCATGAAAGAGCAAACATCCTGTTTATTTCCCAATTTTTTTTGCACATGATTGGGTATTTCTTAAATTTTCACTTTGTTTCACCTCATTTACTAAGATAAAAGAACATGCTCTATTCCTTTAGTAAATCAAGGTCAATGTGTGACAACTGGCTGCAAGAGAGAGTATGTGATATGAAATATACAACGATCAGCCAAAACATTAAGACCCCTGCCTAACATTGAGTAGGTCCATCTTTGGAAACAGCCCTTACCCATTGAGGCATGGACTGCACTAGACCTCTGAAGGTATGCTGTCAGTAGCAGATCCTTTAAGCCCTGTAAGTTGGGAGGTGCAGTCTCCATGGATCGGACTTGTTTTTCCAGCACATCCCACAGATGCTCAATTGGATTGAGATCTGGAGAATTTGAAGGCTAAGTCAACACCTCAAACTCATTGTTGTATTCCTCAAATCATTCTTGAACCATTTTTGCAGTGTGTCAGGGTGCATTCTTCTGCTGAAAGAGGCACTGCCATCAGGGAATACAGTTTCCATTAAGGAGTGTACTTGGTCATCAACAATGTTTAGGTGGGTGGTACGTGTCAAAGTAACATCTACATGAATGGTAGGGCCCAAGGTTTCCCAGCAGAACATTGGCCAAAGCATCACACTGCCTCCACAAGCTTGTCTTCTTCCCATAGTGCATCCTAGTGCCATCTCTTCCCCAGGTAAGCCTTGGCTGTCCATAACCCTATCGCCGCTTCACCGGTTTTCCTTTCTTGGACCACTTTTGGTAGGTCCTGACTACTGCAGACCGGGAATATCACACAAGATCTGCAGTTTTGGAGTTACTCTGACCCAGTCGTCTAGCCATTACAATTTGGCCCTTGTCAAAGTCGATCAAATCCTTACGCGTGCCCATTTTTTCTGCGTCCAAAACATCAACTTCAGGAACAAAATGTTCACTTGCTGCTTAATATATCCCTCCCACTTCCAGACGCCATTGTAACGGGGTAATCAATGTTATTCACTTCACGTTTCAGTGGTCAAAATGTTATAGCTGATTGGTGTATATAAAACGCAGAACAGAATCAACAGTCAGCTCTTATGGTGAGGTGGGCCATTGGGGATGAAGAAACCCTCCAAAACAGGTGTTATCGTTTCCATTAGAAACTACTATGAATGTTTGCTTGGATTTCCTTTGTCAGCATTGCTTTCCATAAAAACTGACCCCCACCAATCATCTGCCAGCGGTGTTAAAAAGAAAAATGCACCTTTAAAGCCCATCACTGGGCAAACATTGATTGGAAGGGCTTAGCACCACCAGTATGAAAAACACATTTAAAGAAGAACTCCAGGAAATGTTTTAATTAACCCTTGCAGTGGGGCTACCCCCACACTGGGCAAAAATTGATTGGAAGGGCTTAGCTGACAGCACAGCACCACCAGTATGAAAAACACATTTAAAGAAGAACTCTAGGAAATGTTTTAATTAACCCTTGCAGTGGGGCTACCCCCACACTGCAAGGGTTAACTGCTCGAAGAAACAAAGTTATATTCACCCAAAGCTTCGAGCTGGCTTCTTCTTCCAGTCCTTCCGACGTCTCTCCCCCAACGTCTATACACATTGTATTGACGTGAGGATGCTGGGGAAGATTCCAATGCGCAGCTAATTCCAAAGGACTAATCTTCTTGGGAATGTCCTTTAACTGCGCTACTGACAGAAATGTTGAGGTTTAATGTTAAATAAAGTTTCATCAATCCTGGTGCAAGTAAAGGGCTGGATTCACATTGCAGCATTATAATAATACTGGTTTCCAAGCAATAAATTACAGCAAACTGCATTTAAATGCATTCTAAATTGCAGTATCTTACAGTGTGAATCCAGCCAAAGCCATGCAAGCATCCATCCACACTTGTTTTCTAAAAGCAAACCAATGACTTCTGTCTACAATTGCCTGACAAAACTTCTCGGGTATATTATTGTAAATCAAGAGACAATTGCAATGAAACAAAAAATAGAAAACATTGGTCAGAAAAATCTTTTGTTTTCTGAAGTGAAGATGTACAACATTAGAAATGTCAATTGTGCCTAAGTAGTATTTATTTTTCTCAGGTATTTATATAGCACCAACAATTTTTATGCAGTGCTCAAGGAGCTTACAGTCTAAGGTCCCTATCTCACATGTATATATATATATATGAGGACCAATTTAGACAGGAGACAGTTAACCTACCAGCATGCCTTTGGAGTGTGGGAGGAATCTGGAGTACCCAGAGAAAACACACACAAGCACAAGGAGAAAATCCAAACTCCTTGCAGATAGTGACCTGGCCAGGATTTGAACCAGGGACCGCAAGTGCTGGAAGGCAGAAGCCCTAACCACTAAACCGCTGTGCTGCAAACAGTATATTTTGTCTTGAATTTCTGAAAAATATCAGCGCACTTCCAGGTATGTGAAGGTGCTTAGGTTCTCCTGTGCCTATAGCTTCATATCTATATATCTGCAGTGTGAGATCAAAGGCACTGCTGCCTCTGACTGCTAGGAGATTGTAAGTGAAATTTAGAGCATCAGATTTGGTGATGTCAACCTTGTGCTGCTCACTTTTCTCCATGCTGGAGGCTTTGACACGAGGAAGCAAACCCTGTCTCTACCAAGATGGTTGCCTCCGCAAAGAGATACAATGCAGAATAAGGGATTAAAAGTTAGTAAAGGGGGAAAGATCCTGTTTCTGGGTGGCTACACTTACTGTATCTATAGAAGGAGCCATGGTTGCCTCCCAGGATGGACTGTAAACATGTTTGTCTTTGTTCATCTCCATTACATGGGGGGGGTGATTGGATTAGTAAAGTACCCAAGAAAGATAACCTTGCTTTCACTTTCATCTCACGAGAAATGACAAGATGACAAGGACACTGCATTTCTGGGAAGATAAACAGGTAGTTTCTCTACTTGCTAAAAACGAAAACCTAATGCAGCCACCACATCTAAGGACTGCTAAGCTGCAATATAACATTTTTGTTCTTCATTTTAGTTATCCTTTAAGGGCTGTTAACCACAGGAATCTCTGGTGGGCATTAACCAAAATGATTCTCTCTATCAGCTTCTATTGCAGGTACGGTAGGAAAATGAAAGCAAACAGCCAACAGTCACTATGAGCAATACAGACAGTACTTCCAGTCAATTGTATATATGAGGGCCACTGGGCAAATAACACTGCAGTAATTAGAAATAAGAGGAGCTTAGAAAGCACCTGTGCTCAATATTAACTGAATATCTATTGACATAAAAGCTAATGGGTTATGAAAGAGACTCTGTTAAGCAGAATACCTGTGTATGAAAAAAGCATCCACTACTTGATTAACATGCTACACACTAGTTCCAGGGATATAAATGAGATGACAGATTTAACTAACTGTCTCAGAGCTTATATGAGGCACATCAGTGTAAGAGAATGATGGCTTCTATTACAACCTAAGCGTACTTTTCGCTTTTACAACAATTTCCTGTTAAGACCATATTTACTTTGGGAATGTATTTTCAGCCTGCTTATTTGAAATATTTTTCAACTAGTAAGTAATGGTGAGCTATTGCATGTTATTATTTCATATTTATTCTTTCTATTAAGCAGGTAGACTTCTAGGCTCCCTTTCACATGTTTCATTAGACTCAAGCTGGCCACACATGGCTGGATTTTAGCTGATTTCTGCTTCCCTCAGCCCTGTTGGCACCACCAGACTCGACAAACTTTGATTTGAAAATCGAAGGAGCCGAGTGAAAAATTGTTGGTCCAATCAGATGCAGTCATTGTTCAGGTATTCAGACAGCAACAGGTGCCGGCTGTCTGAATACAATAGCTGGCAGGTGGAGATTCCTTCAGTCACACTGTTTAGCATTGATAGAGCAATCCAAGGATTACTCTTGACTAGATTAACCTCTGGCTTGCTGGAAAAACCTGTTTACAGAGATGAGTAGCTAAAGGTCAGATAACACTGTGTTGATTGTGTCATAGCAGTGACTCATTCCCCTTTCCTTCCTGCATTGTATGGCTGCATACTGCTCTGTATACATTTTCAGTTGCAGATAGACAGTCTCAAAGAGAAGGTAATGTTGTGTTCTATCTTTAGAAAAACCAGAATGCTCTGCGAAACCAGCATCACTGATGGACTGTGTATTAAACAGGTAAAGAGGAACTGCAGGAATAAAAAAAAATAACCCTTGCAGTGGGGCTAACCCTGCACTGCAAGGGTTACCTGCTCATTTTGGTATAGGGGTTGGATTATAGAAGATAATTTAACTTGTAGTCCATCACAGGAGTGAGCTTGGAGTGGGATCTCCTTTACAACACACACAGGGACCATGGGGAACAAAAGTAGGCCCCCTCCAGAAGGAAGGACAGTGTCAGCATGAATTCAGAGATGATTTGAGGATCTACAGCCGAGTGATACACAAATAAGATATATTTTTGTTAATAGTTACGGTACTTGGATACATTTTTTAGATTTAACTCCTGAGTTTAGTGCCACTTTAAATCTCTTTTGAAATTATACCTTTCTTACATAGAGATATAAAGTGAAAAAATTACCTTATGTGGTGTAATGAAGGCTTCAGTGGGCGAAAGGTTCCCCGTTAGGCCCTCACCTTTGTGAATTCAGATGTCAGCATCCCACACTGATAACATCATAATCCCTCCTCTTACGAACCTGCAATGAATAAAACATATTTACTAAAACATGAAAAGCAAACTGATTTAAACAGTAGAATAAATGTATAATGCAGATTGTAATAAGCTGAACATTGGGAAATGATCTGAGGAACAGATACATATCTGGAATGATTTAAAAAAACATCGGTATTGATTATTTGAGATATTGCTCTTTGGCATGGAATTCAAAGAATGTACTTTTGTACTTTGTTTTAGTTTACTGCTTTAGTGTTTACCATTAAGCATGTGCTTTCTCTCGAGAATTTTGCCCTAAACTTGCAAGTATGTAGACAGAAAGCCATGACAGGCAAAAATACACAAAACATTTAATGTGGTGATGATGATGATTATTATACAGGATTTACATAGCGCCAACAGTATGCAAAGCGCTTTACAATATAAGCAAGACGTTACTATACAAATCAAGACAAGATGGTAAGGAGGGCCCTGCATGTGAGGGCTTACAGTCTAAAAGGAAGGGGCAAGTGATACAGGATGAGGTAGCTGTTTCAGGATGAATTGTTTGAGAAAAAGATAGTTCAGAGGTTAGTTTGAGTTGGGATTGGCTTCCCTGAAGAGATGAGTTTTCAGGAAACGCCTAAAGGAAGAGTAGGAGACAGATGGACAGGTTGGGGTAAGGAGTTCCAAAGGATGGGAGAGACTTTAGAGAAGTCCTAGAGGCAAGCATAGGAGGAGTTGCCAAGGGAGCTAGAGAGTAGGAGGTCTTGGGATGAGCATAGAGGGCGGATAGGGTGATACTTTGAGCTGAGGTTGAAAATATAGCTGGGGGCAGAGTTGTGGATGACTTTGTAAGTGTTTGTTAATAATTTGAATTGTATTCTTTGGGTGATTGGAAGCCAGTGGAGTGAATGGCCGGATTGGGGGGGCTGTAAGCACTGAGCGGTTGGTTAGGTGGGTGAGTCTAGCAGCAGCAGAAACATTATTTATGCCTTTAGTAGGTAAGGAATGTAACAGCAAACTAGCTAAACAGGATTTTTGTCTCTCACCACTTTCCACACAAATAAAAAAAAAAGAGAAATAAAACGTATTTTTAAAAATAAAACAAAAACACACTTTGTGTCTGTCCAAGGCTGTAGGGACAGATTAGGACGGCTACAATTGTTGTCCAGGAGTAGCACATTATATGATTTTACTGCTTTGTTGAAAAAGAAAAAAAAACAAAGCTTTATCCTTTTGTTGATTGTCTTACATACACTGAATTATTGTAATTGTTCACACAAGATATCCTGCCCAATACTTTTCTCTGCAATTAAACAGTATAAAAAATGATGTTTATGCTTTCTGCATACATACTGTATACATACTGTATATTATACATTTTGCAACACTTCATTATGCTAATAGTATAATACACTTGTGATTGTACATATTTAAAACCAGGCAGTTCTGTTATACCACTTCAAATATGTCTTTGGAATTAAGGAGCAATACATTTATTACAATACATTACATGTATTGTACAATACATTACAATATATTTTTTGTTGCAATAATGTGAAAATACAAAACAATAAAAACATATATAAAACAAAGCACTCGTGATGGCAAAATTTCCCACATGCATGCACATAAATATATGAGCATACGTACAAAAGGGGACACACTACAAGAGCTCACAGGCAGCTAGCCCCACAACAAAGCCAATGCACATGAGTACCCCCAGCCAACGTACACGAGTAACTTCAGTTGTTTCACATGAGTATCCCCAGCTTATAAAAATGAGTAACCTCAGCTACTGCACATGAGGGCACCCAGTCAAGGCACATTAGTATCTCCAAACAATTCACATGAGTACCCTCAGCCAATGCACATGAGTGCTCAAAGTCACTGCACATGAGTAACTTCAAACAACGCACATGCCAACCCTTGGCCAATGCACACGAGTGCTTTAAGCTAATGTACAAGTAACTTCAAACAAAGTACATGGATATCTATGTCCGATACACATGAGTACTCCTACCAATGCACATGTGTACCCTACTCAATGCACAGAAGTAACCACAGTTAATGCACAGGATTAGCCCAAGTCAATGTACACGAGTAACCACAGTTAATGCACAGGATTAGCCTAAGTCAATGCACATGAGTAACCCCAGCCAATGCATACCATTACACCCATCCAATGCATATGAGTAACCCCAGCTAATACACATGATCAACCCCTGAAATTGTACATAAATAAACCTAACTAATGTAAATGACTAACCCCAGGAAATGCACACATGTAACCCCAGCTAATGCCCATGAGTACCCCCAGCCAATGCATATAAATATGCCCAGATAATGCATATGAGTACTCCAGCAAATGGATATGAATATCCCCAGATAATGCACATAAGTATCCCAAACTTTCTATGTAAACACATAATTGCACCCAGGGAATTGAAGGTCGGCCATTTCTTTGAGAAATCAGTGAAAAATGTGCTCTTACCATTAGGGATGCACCGATGCCAAGTACAGTACTCGGTACAAGTACAAGTACATGTACAGATACTTTTCCAGCTCCAAGACTAGACTAAAGAAAAATTCAAAAGTTAGGAGGCAGCTGTCATTTGTAAGGAGCACACGGAGCTCCTGGGATTTGTACATCTCTGTTTTAATGTATGATTTTGTTTTTATAAATATAAATAAAGGGATGCACCAACATTAGTTGTGTACAAAATTATCCAAAAATTGTTTTACCGTTTAACTGTACAATTTATACTTGTATTCTATCACAAATTACTTTTAATAAAATACTGATAAATTAAGCTTAAGCTTAATTAAAAAAATCTCATGTAATTTGTGCTGCCTTCTGTCTGCCCATCACTTTCAACAACTTCCTGGATTTCCATTGTACTTTGTATCTCTTTCCCTCCTGGTTGTCGTTATGCAATCTTGATTTCTCAAGACTACATAGCTCACAATGCATTGCTTTCAGCATGCCATAATATTGTTACATTGTTCAGACATTGAGTTGTAGCTCAGATGACAGGCTCTTTTGAGTTGGGACACAAGGAAGTGCATATTCACAGTGCTGAGTGAACTTCTGTCAGTGCACTGAGGAAGTACATCCTATGAGCATCTTCAATAAGCAAGTTTACAAACTTCTAGATCAATATGGTTATTAGGAGTGGGATAGAACTTATGGAAATTAAGTTTAAAAATACATATTTATTTGTAATTTTTGAACATAGATATCCTTTAATTGTTTATGCCAAGCTACATACCAGAGATCATCTACTAAGCACACCTGTATTTGAGCAAGCAACGTGCATGCAAAGCGATATATAAGACAAAGGGCATTACTCTGCCAGTGAGGAAGAGGAAATCCAGGCAAGATTTCTGCATAGGAAAATGTCTAGATCTCATTTGAGTCTCAGAAAAAACCTCTCATACCCGCTGGACCACCCCCTTCAGTTCACTACTGTAAACTGACCAGAAGGGTCCTGCCTTGGGGATGAAGTTCTTTTAATTGCTTCTTTTTATGCAATTATTATGTATTTGTTATGTTTACATCAGGGATGAAAACATGATATGTGCTGTCGCTGATTCATGGTGTGCTGACACCACATTCCTCGGACACTATATGTCCTTCCTTCTGGAGGGTGACTACTTTTGTTCCCCATGGTCTCTGAGTGTTGTAGAGTCATCCAAGCTCACTCCTGTGATGGACTACAATCTCACATTTGGTTTACTAGTTTGTATTGAGACTTTAGTCCATCAGGGCGCTATGAATACTTTACAACACACACAGGGACTATGGGGAACAAAAGTAGCCACCCTCCAGAAGGAAGGACAGTGTCAGCACCAATTCAGAGATGATTTGAGGATCTACAGCTAAGTGATACACAAATAAGATACATGTTTGTTAATAGTTAAGATACCTGAATGCATGTTTTAAGATTTAACTCTTGAGTTTAGTGTCACTTTGAGTTTAGGGCATATGCGTTTTGTGACAGGAATGGCACTTTTAGCAGCCTTACTTCAGGTAGTATGTGAATCCATATTAATATAATTAGCAGTCATCAATTATTATAAAACATCATAACTTAATGTCAACTCACATATCCATTTCTCATACACTTACTTGGGCAGAGCCACAGTAGTACATCAGGGCTGGACAAATCCCAGGAGCCAGGTAGCCAATGTCCCTTAAAAATGACAGCTGGCAACTAATATCTGAGGGTTTCTCTAGTTGTTGTCAATAGATCTGGCTCCTGGATTGGACAGGCTGGCTCCAGAATTCCATATTATTTGTCCACCCGTGTGTTACATAATGGTGCACCAATGCCCCTGCCTTTGCATATGCTAATAACAACGATAAATCACTTTTCTTAAAAATCATAATAGGAATAGTAAGAATGCTTACTATGATTTCTGTTAATGTTTGCATTGGCATGAATTAAACATAGATCTCTAACAGAAGGATCAACTACCACAGTTACATAGGAATATGTAACAAATCAAGCATTAAATAGTGATAATATACAAAGGCAATGAAGGAATCCAGATCCTTTAATGGTAGATGGTGAGCTAGCAGTAGAAGCACTGAAAATAAGAAGAGTCCATAGAATAATAGATGATAAGAGCCAAGGGAACATAATTCATTAGCACCTCAGTGACCTATGCAAGGTAATTTCAGATCTCATTACTCCATAAAGCACAATCAGAATCACATCCTATTATCATGGCTGCCAATAGCTATCGCCGTAGCCCGTTCTGCAGCAGGAAAATAAATAGCTTTATTTATATGTGAACAGACGGCATTTGCTTTGTCATCCCCGCTTCATACATCACAGCGGCATCTACCCATCTACTGAGAAAATTATAAAAAGCTATCAAATAAACACATTTCATTAACTTTCCAGAACCTTTTCACTGACGGAGCCTGTATTCATGCGACGCTGTTTAAATAAGAAAACGCGACACCCCACCTTGTAATGCTTCATGCCAGAAGAGATTTGTGTATTGAAATCCGTCATTCAAATCAGAGCCGAGTG